AACTCCTCCGCTCCATCAGTAGCAAATCCATCAATACCCGTATTATCTTCCCTCAACCTCTGTTTTTACTTCATCACCTAGCATGCACAGTTCCAACAGGAACAAGGTGGAATAGGATTGGGAAAGGGAATACAATTTTGCGTCTCCTTTTTTTTTCTTTTTTTCTTTTTTGGAAGTTTTTAGCATTTTCCTTCAGCTATAACTATTGTGGGGGTTATAGCATCTGAACCCGCTGTTATTAGGCGACCCTCCTTCATTTCCGGATCCAAGTGTTCCCCTTTCGTGCAACACAATCGAAATTTGAAAAATAAAATTTTCATCCAAAAGTAATCACCTTCCATGTCGTGTAGTCCCTAGTTGTTTCAATCAGTCCAATTTTAGTGGAATTTATAGTTTGATATTGCGGAGACCTGGCATTGTTGGCAGTAGAGCTCATCTAAGATCGTTAAGTGAAGAAAACAATGATCTGGGTGGTGACCAAGCTGAGGTTTTAGGCCTGGATTTGGAGTCTCTGAGATTTTGCTGAAGCGGGGAGTCTTTATTGGGGCAATGCTTTGTTGTCTTTTGGTTTTCGCGTGTAAGAGAGTGCTTGTGGTGGAGGAAGTGTTGAATGCAGGGTATGGAGTGATTGAGCAGTGGGCATTGTTGTTGAGGAATGCGTGGCCTAAGGTTTCTATGGTTCTTAAGATTTTCAAAGAGCAAGGTGTGATTTTGACTGCACTTTTACGTCTATCTGCATTCTTCTTATGGCAGAGACTTCTTCTCATGGCAGAGACTTCTATAAGTACACCGTGGTCATGAAAGGTTTGCTTTCTTGGTTTGAAGATTGATAGTTCTTATAATTAGTGAATAGCAATTGAAATCTGAATTTTAGTATGGAAATATCGAAAAAGTTGAAAAAGATAAATATATGAAGTTGAAGAACATTCACAGTTATTGATTGTTAATGTTTCAGTAACTTTTATGGTTTAGATAAATATATGAATTTTGTGGTTGTTGTGGCATTTGCTGACTTAAATATTGAGTTAAGTTTAGCAAAGATTAATCTAATCTCCTATTTCAGTTCTTGATAGTAAAGTTCATGCAGCAGTATTACTGTTGTCTTGTTTGGTTTGGAGGATGATGCTGGTTTCTTATATTCTCATGTGGTTCATATTAACTTATGGAAGAACATGATTTATTTTTTTTAATGTCACCAAGCCATCAAGAAACTTTGGTCTCATTGGTGATTTGATGCTAATTTGTGTCAGGTTCATGAGCTGGCTGAAAAAGAGTCTGAAGATGGTGTATTTCAAATGCTTCACAGTGATGTAACTTGGTTTTTGACCACCATTCTTATTGGCACTAAGTGCTAGTCTTTCCCATAATCACTTAACTGATCCAGTTTTATTTATGCGTCTATGTTTAACTTTGGTGTGTGAGATTTATTTTTAGATTCTGTTTTTGTCACTAGGCTGGTCAATATTGGAGCAATTGCTTTAGTGACAGATGCAGCAACAGCTATATTTGGAGAAGCTGGTGTTAGTGCAGCAACAGCTATATTTGACTGTATGTACATAAAAATTCTATCCTCTCTATGTGTCCCACAGACCCAACCTCCTTGCCTGCTTATATTTGTGCTTGTATGTAACACATTGTGAATTTGTAGTAAATTGGAGTAAAATGCTTAAATTGCCTAAGGATAAATCTCTTTAAGTTAGCACCTGAGTTGTAGAGTTGACTATTACAAAGTTTTGTGCTTCCTTTGTAAACAATGAGGTAAGAACAAATAAGAAATCATGTTGGGTAACTCTAATAGACCGCAGAATAATCAAAAGGTGGGTGGGCTGGTTGTTTATCATGTGGTTTTTTTCCCTCTACCTCAATGATAATGGGAAGGTGGTAATGATAAATGAGCTGGATCTTTTGAGACTCTAGGGCCTTTGAGCCAGAGAATCAGTATTTTAGGTTTCAACACTAGGGCACTGGTCATTCTTTATTTTTCTTTTTTCGACATTATGGTTGTCCAAACCTTTGGGCACTAGCCATTCTGGATATAATAGATTAATTTGCATATCTTTCTCTTTTTATATTATTGATAAAGGAGTTGATATTTTACTAGAAAATCAAAACCATGTACTGTATAAATGTCTTGTATACAGTACACAACAGGCTTAGCTTATTTTCTTCAAGGGGTATTTTCTGTTTTTACTACCTTTTTCTTCTTCTTTTTTTTTTTCTTCAATCCACTTAGAAAATTATTAATCTGAAGCTATCCTACAGAGCAACAACAAATGATCTTTGATATTTTTATACTCTTTGTTTCCTTTTCTTCTAAGTGAATTTGTTTCTGGTCTATACGTATCTGTGCACACTGAAAGGCATAGCACCTTTGTTAAATAAAGAAGAAAAAAGGAATTTTCTTATACTTTTTGCAGTTGTAATTTTGAGAGTCAGGTGATATGTTAACCCCTGGTATGCCTAGGGTGATTATTGTAGATATGTTGTTTTCATGCAATAGAAAAGCTTGCGTTTTTCCACCAAAAAAAAAAAAAAAAGAACATAAAAGATTGAAAGAAATCATAATCATCGAATTTTTCCTGAATGATTCTATTGTTGCTATTTTGCTTCTTATTGAGATCACTCCAAAAAGTATAGTTGTTCACAATCCCAAAGAGGTGGCTAGATTTGTGGTAAGTTTTCCATTCAAATTTCCATTTTCTTCTTGATCTGGCAACTAAAACATTGCTGAAAAACTTTAACCTTCTCTTTCAAACTTCTTGGTCTATGTTGCTATTTAACTGTTTTCTACCTAGGCGATGACTGCTAGCAAATTAAAATTATTTGGCTAATGCTGTTTGCTGTGTCACTAAGTTAGGCCAGTGGCATGGCTTTCCTCAATACTATATCCACTGGGAAGAATTGTTACTTACTTATCAACGGGAATTCTTAAATTACTTGGTCTGAAAGGGAAAAGGTGAAGGAAATCATATCCTATTTTTTGTCTGTAGCATTTTTTGTTTCCAGTTGTTTGTTAGTGTAAGTTTGTATTGACTGCTTTATGAATGCTCCTCATGTTTTCTCTTTAAATTAGTAAACCTTATGTTACTGAAGATGAATTAAAGCTGATGCTACGTGGGGCAGAGTTGAGTGGAGCAATAAAGAAGGAAGAGCAGGTAGTGAAATAAGCTAATTTTTCTTTACTGTACTAGCCTGAGTGTCTTTTTTGTTTCAAATAAGAATTCAAAAGTTTCTTCAGTTTCTGAATTCCTTTACTGGGATGAAATTGATAAGTATCAACAAAGCTTGACTCTGGTTGCACATTTACAATAGAGCATATCTTTTCCTTGCCATATATTTATCTACCAATTTTGGTTTAAAAATCAAATTCTAGAGGAAATCCAATTTAATTTTTTTGCCAACAGGTGCCTTTCTGTTTGTTTACAGTTCAGATGCCCTAATTTTATGAATTCCTTGCAGGATATGATTGAAAATGTATTAGAGATAAAGGATACTCATGTTAGAGAGGTCATGACACCCCTTGTCGATGTGGTTGCAATTGATGCAAGTGCAACTCTTGTTGATTTCCACCATCGGCGGGTGACTCACCAATATTCAAGGTAGGAAATTGGTCATTCATCTCTAAGGCTTTGTCTCCCTCAAGAAACTTGTTAAAAGACATGTTTACAGGGTACCTAGTTTTGAGCAGCATGTTGACAATATAGTTGGCATTGTATATACAATGGATCTACTTGATTTTGTTCAGAAGGTCAAGCAATTTCCCCCTTCGACACATCCTTTTTCCCATCATTAGAACTTTTCATAACAATTATATGCAACAATATCAATATCATAGCATGCAGATTTTTAATCACTTTGATTTTTCTCTCTTTTTTTGGGAACTGGTGAAGGGTGAGCAACCTGAAGGTTCTAGTGTGGGAGACATAGCTCACAAACCTGCCTACTTTGTGCCTGGTAACCCATGACTTTTTTCTCTAGTTGATATTTAATGATGTTCATTGTATTATTTGTTCATTGTTTGTTGGCATCCAAATGCCATAACATAAACCCAATGAAACGTATAATGCTGAAAAGTCAAACAGGATAATATGTTGACCACTTAAAATCTAAATGGTTGGTGTGACCCCTCAATACCTTAATTCATGAGCTTGCACCTAGCCTTAGAATGTTGTTCTAATCTTACAACTTCAGAAGCTTTGGCACATAACATTGGTATCAGGTTCAACATGGTAAAGAAGACAAAGAGGAGTTCCCTGCAGTTGAAACTCAAATGCTCTCTCATATGTTTGAAATCATTTTTCTTCTGAAGTTCAGATGAGAGTGGAATATACACCATGAGAACACAAATAGTCTAGAACTTAATATGCATGTGTTTTCTCTCCCTTTTGGATTGCTTATTTTACAGTATTTGCACTCATTTTTTTGACAGATTGATTTTATATATTTACGCATTTATTTTTTGATGGAGCAGATAGTAACCTTAGAAGATGTGGTTGAGGAGATTGTTGGAGAAATCTTTGATGAAAATGATTCGAAGGTAGGCCTAATTACATAATGAATGACCTTAATGTTCTGTTATTGAATCTGTTATTGGGGGCAAGTCTTTTAACCATATAGATAACTTTAGATATTGCATTCTATTATTCCTCAGCAAGGGGATGCTAAGAAAATTTGTTGATGAAGTCCAAAACAAATTGGTGTTATACATGTGCTGCTAAATTTCTGCAGACCAATTGATCTAGATGCAACTTTATTCCATCAGTTTTTGCTCTCATTTAGTTTGGCATGTACTTTGTCTGTATTTTCCATGTCACCAAAGAATTTCATGTCACTGCTCATGTCATGTAGATATTTCTTTACTCTATAGGTCTCATATCAATTAGTGTTACAAGGTTGACCTCTACTTGATTCTTAAGTGATACATTTATACATATATATGTAATGATTCTCAAGTTATTCTTATTTTATGCATTTGATGCCAATTGCATTAAGTATTAACAGGAGGAGATTCAGAAGAAAACTGGCTATATTGCAATGAGAGCAGAGGGAGTATATGATGTTGATGCCAACACATCTATTTAGTATTTATTTGCTATCTGAGGACTTGAACATCAAAATGCCAGAGGTATGTTATTCCACCCTCTTCCTAGTTTTCATTGTTATGATGTATAGAGCACCGAATGGAGTATTTGAACTTTAAAGCTAAAAAATCAATTATTAGGATTATTTCTGTATTGTACACTTCTCCTGCCATTTCCACAGCCTCATTAAAATTTCATTCTCTGCCACATAGTAGTTGATCATAGGAATCTTAAAAATAGCCAGGCTTATAAACTTGATATTTCTGATCTCAGTTGTGGATGAAATTCTGTTTATTGTGACTGTTGTGGGATTATTATGCTTTATGATTAAGTGAACACTGCTTGAAAAGAAAAAAAAAAGAAAAAACAAATGAAAAAGAAAAAGGAGAGAGGATAAAGTAAATAGTTAAAAGTGCAATGTGGTTTTCAATTCATTTTGAAATAAAGGCACAGTTAATCTCACATTGTAAATAACTATCAAAATGTTCCTTAACTTTTAAATTTGATATTTCTATTCATTGTTTCTTTGTTCACCATGCTGTTCCATAGGAATATCAGTGTGAGACAATATCTGGTTCTGTATGTGAAGTATTTGGATACATCCCTAGGGCTGGTGAGAGCATCAAAGTTGTCCTCAAAAGGGTTAATCAAGATGATGATGATGATGATAAGCATGATGAAGATGGATCCAATCATCAAGATGTAAAGGAAAGGCATCAGATATATAGACTTGAGGTAGGGTAAAAGCACTGAATGGATTTCAGTAAAAAAACTAGGAAAGAAAATGCATGTAGCTAGCAATCATGCAGTCTCTTGCACTTGTAACTTTCTGAAATCAATGCTATTAAGAGGGCATGCATTTGTTCATATAGGAATCTGCTTTTATATTGCTCATCCTATGAGATGCTTCATTTGGTGGCTCAGTTTGCTAAATGAAACTTAGCAACTCATAATAATAATTCATATGCTCCGTTTTTGTGTAATACTCAAGTTTAAACATTTTTTCTGGAAAATAAATTATCCATGTGATAACGGAAAGAAACCACAGGATTACTACATAGACTAACATTGTAAAACTTTTTCACAGATGAAGTGATGTATCAACATCTGAAATATCAGCATAGTCAGTTGTACATATGACAGTGTCTCTGGACCATAAATTCTCCAATATTGGATTCTGAATGGCCTGAACCTGGGTATTCCTGCTCTGCATATTGGCTTCTCTTTTGAGTGTACACTGAAGAGGCAGCTCTAACTGAACCATGAGTTCAGGGTGGAAAAGCAATCTGGATGGCACATAAGGCATAGCTGCATTGATCTGCCTTGATTCAGGCAACATCCGTAAGAGCTCTTTCTCCTGCCTCATCTCCTTGGCTCTCTTCAACTGTCTGAACTGTTCTCGCAGAAGAGCAATGGGCAGATGACTGATCATTGGATCAATCTATCTCCACTCATTGGAAGATGAAGAGGAACCTCAATGGGATTGATGCAAGCACACTTTAAGGAGACCTCAAATGCATATGCTCATATATATAGGACATAGCTAGGACTTAAAGATGATTATTTTAATTCATTCATTCCGGCTATGTGATTCTGTATGACTAAAAGTTGGAATAGACAAAGGCAGCTGAGCTGCAAAGTCTAACAAGGCAGATATATGTGGCCATGTGAAGGGGTAAAAGTACGTCCAGGGAAGAAAATGGTCAGGAGCAAAATCCAAAGAGAGGTGGAAGCTAGCATTTGGAAATTGTTTCTTTAAGGATAATAAAAGGCTGGGTGCGTGGTGTGTTGGTTTGTCACTGAGGGCTGCTGCTATGCCTTTGGAGTCTTTTTAGTGGGGGATTTGGTTGGACCTTCCCATTATATTTAGCTTTGAACATTATCATTTTTCATTTGTGGACAGCACAAAGCTTGAACACTGTGAACACAATTCGAACTTTGATGTTTCTATCAATGAAAACCTTTTTATGGAGAGGAGAGAAAAGAAGAAAAATCTACCAAAGCCAAGTCCCTCTTTCTCTTGTACATGTTCTGTTTTGTCTTGAAGCTTTTGGATGGAAATGGCATGGAAGGTGAATGTTAAGACATTAGATTGGATCTGTGGTTGTTGGGGGAGTGAAATCTGAAAAGAAACATATATCCTAAAGCTAAAGATAGGTATCTCATTAACCCCCAAAAAAAGAAAAAAAAAAAATCTAATAGGGCGAGTGCAGCTCGTTGACCGCCACAGACCCTTCTTTTCTGGCAACTGATGGTAAGGAATTTTCTTTGATATTTTTATTTGTGGGTTTTATTTCTTGGCAATTGGGTGTTGTTTAATTATGTATGGAAAATGTAATTACTTTGTTTGAAGAAAAATTATCGAGCCCTCTGTCCTCTGTTTCAAGTCTCAACCTTTGCTCTCTTTGCTACTACCCTTAGATTCTTTGATTTATGTTTGTAGAGATAAGGATTTTGTCAAACTTGGTTATTGGTCTTTGGATTCTTGCTTTGCCTTCAATTTTTTGGTGTTTAGGGAATTGATGCTTTTGGAAGAAAATGGATGTTTTCAAAGTTAGTGGTGGTATATCATAGATGGACAAATAATAGGGTTTCCAGTACCACTGACTACTTTATGACATGGTTTTGATTTCAATCACTTAATTTGAATAATTTTGATAGCAATCCAGGGATGGAGGGCTGCTAAGGGGATTGAGTGTCAGATTTATGACATTTGGTGTAAAGAAGTCAATGAACAAACAGCTTCCTCACTTGTCTAGTTCAATGATTTGGTACTCCTTGTTTTCACTAATTATCCATTTGAGTTTCTTCCTCTAATCTGTTCAACTTAACTTGTTCACTTTTCATGGACCTCATAGTTTCTTCAATTTTAAAGACCTAATTGCCAATTGCAGCTTTTGCATTCTTGAATGTTGTTTTATATTTAAACTAATATTTTGCATTTGAACTTGTCCTATAGCATGATCTGCACGGTAGATTTCTTTCTGTGTGCTTAGCACAATATTCACATCATCACTCTTTTTCAAGTTGGTTTTGATTTGTTTATTCTATGACTTCCTTTCTTGTTTGGTTATTTAACTGGACCAGTGGATGAGTCCTAAAACACTTTTCTAAGGGAATGGTAAGCTTACTCCATTAATCCAAAATTCCCCATATAGGGCTATACACAAGGCTTTCACCCATGCATTTCCAGGTTTACAGAAAATTAATGACAAAGCATTAATGTAACTCAACTAAGTAGCTAAGAGACTAACTGAAACTAGATGCACAATTGTAACTTTACTCTTTTTTTAAAACGCTTGCCCTTTTTTCTTGCCATATGAAATAAACCATGGCTGCGAGAGAAGAAGCCTTAAGAGTCAAAGTCATCCTTCCTCTACCTTTTGGTCCTTTGCTTCCATTCGAATGACCAACTCAAAGGATTTCTACTTATTATTGCTTCAAAAGTATATCCTTCCCTATTTTCTTACTGCATTCACATTCGAAGGAAGGACAACAGCAGGATTCTTCAGCATGCAAGCATAAGACATACTGTCTATCAATTGTCATTCCCCTACCCTCTGTGCTAACATATATGCTTTGTTTTAAGTCAGTTCAGAACAATTAGCCAAATCAAGAACAGTGCGTAGGTAAACCTTTGCTAGATTGATTTGATTTGAATTTTTATGAGTTATGTTTATAATTCAAGAATATGATCCAATTATAGATTACAATCATTACTTAGGTTGACAATTTAGGGAATGTTGTGTACTCTGTCAAAAGTGAACCATTTTTGTTAATAAAGTTTCTTGCATTATTATTATTATTATTATTATTTGATAAACTTTAACTTTTACTTGGATTTATTTGTCCCTGTCAGGTATCAAGTGAGTGTTAAAACTTATTTCCGCTTTTGCACATGGCTGGCAGAGCACCTATGAAATCTAAGAGGGGTCAGGAAATTGGTGATAGGATCAGTATGTTACCTGATGAACTGATCAATCACATTCGATCTTTTCTTTCAACTAAAGAAGCTGTTAGGACCAGTATCTTGTCAAAAAGGTGGAGACTTGCTGATGGGATCAGTGCATTGCCTGATGCACTTCTCACTCCCATTCTATCTTTTCTTTTGACCAAAGAAGCAGTTTGCGCAACTATCTTGTCAAAAAGGTGGAAATTTGTTTGGGCTTCAATCCCAATTCTTGACTTTAATGATTACGAGTTCTTCAAGAATGACACTGCAGATGAGTCGACTGCACAGCATTATGTAAAGTTTGTTGGTAGAGTTTTGAGTCTCCATGATGCTTTTTTCACAAGGAAGTTTATCCTCTGCTGTGAGTTGGAACATAAATCATCATGCATTCAATCATGGTTTTCTGCTACAATTATGCGTAATGTGGAGGAACTAGATATTAGCGTTCCTGATTCAGACTCAGTTTTCTTGCCTCATTGTCTGTATGCATGCGGAAGACTTTAAGTTCTAAAACTAGGTGGACCTTTCGTTTTAACAGTTCCTACATCAGTGTGTCTAAACAGTGTAAAGATTGTTAGCCTTTGTGGAGTACAGATTTCGAATTGCTTCTCCTTGAAGAAGCTCCTCTCTGGCTGCCCATTGGTAGATGAATTAGGAATTAGGTACTAATGGAAAATGCAAAAACATTGCATATTAGCTCAGTTTCATTGGAAAAATTAACAATGGAAAAAGATCTTGATGTGTGCTAATAGTAATACTACAGGCTGTGAAATTGTTATGAACACCAAATTTGAGGTATCTTAAGCTTTAAGATGAAGACGGTGGGTCAGAATACTACACTGTAAGTTCAACCTCCCTAGTGTCAGCAGATGTTGATGTCAGTGATTCCCGAGATGTCAATGCATTGGTTAAGCTTCTCAAAGATATCTCTAACATGGTGAGGCTAAAGTTATATTATTTTGAGAAAGATGTAGGTTTGTGCTCTCTATCTCTTTCAAAATATTGTCTTTTTTGCTTTACTTTGTTGAATAGATATTTACCATTTCTCATTTGCAGTTTCTTGAAGGTGATCATTATCTGAAACTACCAGTATTTCATAATTTGAAGCATTTGAAAATTCAAATTCCAAGTGCATGGCAGCATGTTGTATTCTTCCTTGAATGATCACTAGTTTTAGCAGATTTGGACCTTGTGAGTGATG